GCAGCAAGAACAGTAGGGGATAGAGTAGGATGCAGCGGGATAACCAGGGAGATGAAGGAGTTTGATAGCTTTATCCATGTCACTGGGCTGGTTGATTTACCACTGGTGGGCAGAAAATATACTTGGCACAGTGCAAATGGACAGCATAGGAGTAGGATAGATAGGTTTTTGGTTTTGGAAGAATGCTTGAAGAAGTGGAATGACTTAAAACAATGGGGATTGGGAAGATTAGTATCTGATCATTGCCCATTACTCTTGAAAAATGAAAACATAGATTGCGGCCCAAAACCTTTCAAATTTTTTGATGCTTGGTTGGAACACCCTGATTGCAAGGAAGTAATTAGCAAAGTGTGGAAATCTGTAGAGGTGAGGGGGTGGAAGGGGTTCAGACTTAAGGAGAAGCTGAAAGAAACAAAAAAAGCCCTGAAGGAATGGAGTGCTAATCACATAGCCGAAGTTGATAGAAGAATAATTGAAGTAGAAAGGACCATAGCTAAAATGGATGAAAAAGAAGAGTACAGCCAACTTTCAGAAGAAGACATTGAGAAAAGAAGGAATGGATTCCTAGATCTTTGGAAGTACATGAAGATTCAAGAGAGTATGTGGCAGCAAAAATCCAGAAAGATGTGGCTGAAAGAGGGGGACGCAAACTCAAAGTTTTTTCATAGAAGTGTGAAGGGTAGATGGAAAAGAAATGAAATCAACAGTATTCAGATTGGGGGAGAGCTATGTAGAGGTGTGAATGAGATCAAGGAAGGCGTGAAGAATTACTTCAAGGGGTTATTCTCAAAAGAAGAGTGGCAGCGACCAAAGCTAGACGGCATCAGCTTTAAACAGATAGACAAATCAGACAATGATTCTCTGACGGCCACTTTCTCAGAAGAGGAAATTAAAAACGCAGTGTGGGATTGTGACTCATCTAAATCTCCTGGGCCGGATGGCTTTAATTTCAGGTTCATAAAGGCAATGTGGGAGGAAATAAAACAAGACGTCATTGGATTCGTACAGGAATTCCATGAGCATGGCAAGCTGGTTAGAGGCTCCAACTCTTCCTTCATCGCCTTGATCCCTAAGGTTGAAAACCCCCATAGAATTGAAGACTACAGACCTATATCACTCATTGGAGTTATGTACAAGATCCTAGCTAAGCTACTAACAAATCGCATCAGGAAAGTTCTTGACAAAATCATCGGGGAGCAGCAAATGGCATTCATAGAAGGTAGACAGTTGATGGACGGAGTGGTGATAGCAAACAAGGTGATCGAGGAGGCAAAAAGGAAGAGGAAGAAGAGTTTTCTTTTCAAAGTTGATTTTGAAAAAGCTTACGACAAGGTTAGCTGGGATTTTATTGACTATATGCTTATGAGGACGGGTTTTACAGTCACTTGGAGAAATTGGATAAAGGAATGCTTACAATCGAGTATGGTCTCGATCCTAGTGAACGGAAGTCCAACTCAGCAATTCCCGGTTAGCAAAGGAATAAGACAAGGTGACCTGTTCTCCCCTTTCCTATTTCTATTAGTAGCAAAAGGGCTAAATGGATTAATGCAATCTGCCAATGAGAAAAATATATTCAGAGGGATAAGGATTGGAAACGAGAACTTGTCAGTAACACACCTCCAATTTGCTGATGACACACTGTTTTTTGGAAAGGCTTCAGAAGAAAACATTCAAGCAATAAAAAGTATCATGAGGACCTTCGAATTGATGTCGGGACTGAAAATCAACTTTGGCAAGAGTCAGATAATGGGGGTCGGGACCGAGGAAGGTTGGAAGGAGAGGATGGCTTACAGACTGTGTTGCAAGGTGGGTGATCTCCCTTCTAAGTATTTGGGAACTCCAGTCGGAGGGAATCACAGGAGGATAGCAATGTGGCAACCACTGGTGAACACCTTTAAAAAGAAACTTGCTAGCTGGAAAAGGCAAAACTTATCTCTTGGAGGCCGAATCACTCTCTTAAATTCTGTGCTGTCTAGCCTACCCGTGTACCTGATGTCAGCCTACAAAATACCCAAAGGTATTCTCTTCTCTTTAGATAAAATACGCAGGAATTTTTTATGGGGAAGGATGAGGGAGGGGAAAAAAATCAGTTGGGTCAATTGGGAAAGGGTATGCAGGAAAAAGGAGTGTGGAGGTCTAGGAGTGAAGGATTTGAGGAAATTCAATATGGCGTTGTTGGGTAACTGGTGGGGGACGTTAGCAAAAGGGGAAGAGGGGCTATGGAGCAAAGTGATATCAAGTAAGTGCGGGGAGAATGGAGGCCATTGGTTGGATTGGGTAAGGGATAAGAGTGGTGGAGGATCAACATGGTGGAGAGACATCCAAAATTTAAATGCTAGAGATGGGGGGAATGTAGGATGGCTATTGGAGGGTTTTAGGATTAAGGCCGGTGAGGGGAAAAGAGTGAGCTTCTGGTGGGATGAGTGGTGTGGGGAGATCTGCTTGGCTAATAAATTCCCTAGATGTATACCTTGTCTATAGGTAAAGACAAAGAATGCTTTCAAATGGGAAGGGCTCTCAATGGCACATGGAGATGGAACTTGACATGGACAAGAACCTTGCATCAGTGGGAAGACGAGACAGCAACAGAACTTCAAAAAATGATTGAGAAAGTGATGATATCCCTAGGGAGCGCTAACAAATGGGAGTGGACACACAGCACCGATGGAGAGTACTCAACGACAACAGCTTACGCAATATTAACAAAACAAAGGAGGGAAGAGGAGGAAGCAGAAATGTATAAAAGAGTATGGAATCCTAGCATCCCAACCAAAGTAGCGGCTTTCAACTGGAAGGTATTACTTGATAGAATTCCAACCAAGCTAAACTTGTTAAAATGTGGGGTCATAAAGGAGGGGGAAGAAAGGAAATGTGTTCTGTGTGAAGAGGAAGAGGAAGCTTCCAGCCACCTATTCTTGAAATGCAAAATAGCCAAATGGCTATGGAGAGCTTGCGCAAACTGGTGGGGCATCAAAGTAGAACTACAAAACGACTGTAGGAGGACGTTTCAGCTCTTTGGCGCCTGGACCAAAAAGTCACACAAAAGAGAAGGGTGGGACTGTATTTGGAACGCAGTCATATGGTCAATGTGGATGGCAAGAAACAAAAAGATCTTCGACAATGTCGAGGTAAACTTGATCAAACTTTTTAAACTTATTCAATTAAGGTCATTTACATGGATTAAAGTTAGGAAAGGCAAGTGTTATTTCAATCTATCTGATTGGCTAATTAACCCTGCTTCATGCCTTACTAGAGTGAAGTAGGAGGGGTTAGAAAGATGGTAGTAACACTAATTGTGCTTATTCCTGTTCATTGATGGGTTTGGTTGATGTTAATGTAAAAGGGTTTGAGTACCCCTTGTATATGAAACCAACCTTACTATTTTGAGACATATTTTTGGAACATTAGTACCTATATATAACTAGGTGGTGAGACTTTGATTGGGCTGTCAGTAATATAAATATTTTATCTAAAGTGAGAGGTAAAAAAATAATTAGAAATTGGAGGAAACAAATTATTTATAATAATAAATTTATAATTTAAGAAAATACTCATTTTCTAACTCCTGATTTTCGGGAGTTAACAATGTTAAGGATAACAGATTATCAAAAATAATTGTTCACCTAATGATTTAAAAGGAAATTATTAAGGAGA